CTGCCAGACCTGCTCCCGGGAGGGGGGGCGGGGACCTGGACAGGCTCCAGCGCTGGCGATACTGACTGCTGTTGGTCTCTGCTCCCACGCCCGCAGCGCCCCCCAGCCTGGGCATGGAGGTCATGGCGCCCGTCACCATCAACGCCCTCAACGGCTCCTCCGTGCGCCTCCCCTGCACCTTCAACTCCTGCTACAAGGTGGAGAACAAGCAGTTCTCCCTCAACTGGACGTACCAGGTCTGCGACAACTGCACTGAGGAGCTGGTGAGTGCCGGGCCGGGGCCGGGGCCAGGATGGGGGCGCACGTGCTGGGCAGGGAAGGGAAAGGAAGGGGAACGGGCCTCTCTGCCAGGAATTGGCCTTAACCGCTCGGCGGCAGGCAGGGGAGTGGGCCGCGGCTGCGCTGGCTGAACACAAGGCAGAGGGTTCAGGCTGGGCAGGGAGGACCCGGGCCTGTGCTGCACGGCCCGCGGTGCCACGGGGCTCTGAAGCGGGCCCGAGCGCAGGCGGGAGTCCAGCCCCGCGCCACCCTCTGCCCAGCCGTGCCTGCGGTCCTTGCTCCGGCCCTAGCCCGGGCGCAGGGGCGGGGCGAGCCCCCTCGCGTTGCCCTGCATGGCTGAGCTTGCAGGGGCCCCACGGCAGTGTTGGGGCTACCGGGCCAGGTGAGCAGGGCTGGCTCACGCTCCCGTGCCGCACGTGCGGGGAGCCACGGCACTGTCTCTCCTGCCCCCGGGGTGCCCTGGGGGCCAGGCCATCAGCCTCTCCCCCTGCCCCGCTCTGCCCTGCCCAGTTCCTGCAGTTCCGGCTGAAGATCATGAACAAGCAGCTGGACCGCTTCGGGGACCGGGTGCAGTTCACCGGGAACCCTAGCAAGTACGACGTGTCCTTCACCCTGCGGGATGTGCAGCTCGAGGACGAGGGCACCTACAACTGCTACGTGCTGAACCCCCCGGACCGGCACCGGGGCCACGGCCGCATCCACCTGAAGGTCCTCACCGAAGGTCAGTGCGCGGCCCGTGGGGAGTCGAGAGCCCTCCAGCTTGCGGGGTCCCTCCCGGCTGGCTGCTCTGGAGCTTCCCACCGAGGAAGCAGCTGCCCTGAGCAGCCGACCCTCTACCGGAGAGAGCCAGGTGCTCGCGGCGCGGTCCCAGGCACCCTTTGCCTGGCACACAGGTCTGGGAAGTAGCAGGATTTTCCTGTGGGGCTCTTCCCACAGCACCAGCCCTGGCTGCCACCTGTAGCCCCTCCGTGGGGCCTGGCACGGACCCCCCTGCTGAGTCCCACCTGGGGTGGCGCAGGGCTGGGCCCTGCTCACCTGGGGCCTGGGGCACCGGCGGAGCTGCCCCGTCTTCGCACGCCCAGCCTGACGCAGCCTCCCCTGGCCCCGCAGAGCCCCCGAAGCGCGACTCAACGGTGGCCGTCATCGTGGGTGCCTCGGTGGGCGGCTTCCTGGCCGTGGTGATCCTGGTGCTGGTGATTGTCAAGTGCGTGCGGAGGAAAAAGCAGCAGCGGCTCAACACAGACGACCAGAAGACGGAGGAGGAGGGCAAGACCGACGGCGAAGGCAACCCGGAGGACGGCACCAAGTAGCCGCCCGCCCCGCCCGCCCCTGTACAGCGTGACCCCTCGATGTGCTTCCCGAGCAAGGATGTCTGTCTCCCCGGAACTGCCCAGCACCCTCCATCTCCCGGCCCCCCAGGGCTCCCGGTGCCAGCAGGGCGCGGTGAGGTGCGTGCGGCGCGGGGGCGCTGGGCAGGGAGGGGAGCTCGGCTGAGCGCCACGAGCCCGTCCCTGCGCCAGGCCTGGGGCAGCCGGTGCCCAGCTCTCACCATGAGGCGGGGGGGGTCTGTGTCCCCCCGGGCAGGGCTGTGGCCTGAGGGGGAGAAGGGGCAGCGCCCAGCGGCAGGGCGAGGAGAGGGCTGGGAGAGCAGGAGAGCACGCGGGGGGCAGGGCGGCGGCGGGTGTAGCGGGGAGACTTCCTGCCCCGGGCCTGGTGCCTGGGGCCTTTGCTGCTGGGTCAGGATTTGGCGAGGCCCAGAGGGGACGTTCAGGGATCCAAGGGCGAGGGGCCCGTTCCCCGGGAGCTGCTTCCTGCCACCGTGGGCCAGCCCCTCCCCAGGCTGCTCCAGCCTCCTCGCGTGCAGAAGGCTGCGGACTTGCCCCTGCCCCAGCCCTGCGCAGCCGGCCCCTGGGCGAGCCCCGACCTCGCTGTCCTTCCCTGGGCGGCCGGGGAGAGCCGTGGCAGCACGGGGGCGGCACGGGGACGGCTTGTGCGCTCCCTCCTCCGGTGCCTCACAGAGGCAGGTGGGCCCGGGGCTGTCTGCAGGGAAGGAGGGCTCGTGGCCTTGCGCCTGGCCACTGCTCCCGGCTTTCCGTGGGAGCATCCGTGTCCTGGGAACGCCCCGCTCAGCAAGTGTCCCGGGGCTAGGGCTGGGGCCAGGGCATGGGCAGAGGCAGTCCCAAGGGCATCAGGGCACTGGTGGAGAGGACAGGCAGGAGGGGCATTACCAGTCCTACGGAGACTGTCCAGCCCCAGCCCCGGCCCTTGCAGCTGATCTAGCTCCCGGGGCCCGGGTCTGTCCGGGGGCCTGAGAGCATCCGGTGACGGGACGGCACGGGGGCCGGCCCCGGACGTGCCTGGGTGCGGTGGTGGGGAGGAGCTGGGGGAGGGTGGCACGGCCTGAGCGCGGGCCGGGGAGCTGGTCGGCCCAGTGTGCCAGTGCCAGTCCCGGCTCCCGGGGACACCCGGTGGACAGGCTGCTCCCCCAGGGCTGCCTCAGTTTCCCTGCAGGCAGTTCAGTTAGCAAGTGCTGCCAGGGAGGGGGAGAGGGGGTCTGAGGCAGCTGGCTTCCCCCTCCTGTGTGTAAGTCTCCCCCCAGGCCCTGCCCCACCCCTGGGGACACTGCCAGTGCCAGCCACAGGGCTCAGGCTCACAGGGGCTGCAAAAGCAGCGGGGCTGGTCCCCGGCCAGCTCTTGCAGCCAGGCGGGGTGGGTGGCCTGTGCCCTGCTGCCACTGCCTCGGGCCTGAGGGCTGGGCCCACCGTGGAGCCCGACTTTTCCTGGGTCATTCCCTGGGAATTTCAGCTGGAAAGTCCCGGGCAGACACCAGTAAAATGGAGCTGGCTGGGGCCGCGGGGACGGGGCCAGCAGGGACGCCCTGCCGTGGGGGGCCGTCTGTGCAGGACCCGGGCTGCTCCCTGCCTTCCCCGAGCAGGGAGCAGCGCAGGGCTCACGGTGCACAGGCTCCGCCGAGCCCCCGGCGAGGCTCCATCTGTAACTGCCAAGGCGCGACACTGCCACTTGGACCCGCCGGGTCGCCCCCGCGTCCCCTGGGGCTGCTCCGTTCTCCCGCGGCTGGAGCGAGGCTGTCCTGATGCCCCCCCACCCACAGCTGCCCCTGCCCTACACGGGCTGTGGCCAGTCGTTTGCTTTTTACTGCTCGCAGATCTTACTGCCGTGGCAGCCACCGGGGTCCGAACCCGCTGTCCCAGGGCTCTCGCTGGGTCCCGGCTTCTGGGGGCCCTTCCTAAACGTTTCTGAGAGAGGGGGAATGGCGCAGGAACAGGGGGTGGGAAGCCGGCACGCCTGAGTCCTCTGCCTGCCGCTGCCACTGGTCCCTTGGGTGGCCTGGGCAAGTCCCTTAGCCTCTGCATCCCCATCTGCCAGGCGGCAGTCACGGGGGTGCTGAGCCTCCGGCCCCGGCTGCGTGCGCGGCTCGGGGGCCCCGAGGAGAGAGGGGCTGTGTCACACGTCATCGGTGGTAAGGCTGGAAGCTGGGTGCCCCCGCCCCGGGGCATTCTGGGCGCAGGGGGACCTGGACCAGAGCACGGGGGGGTTCGCTTGTCAACCCAGGGCCCCTTCCCCCTGCTGCCAGGCCCTACCCCAGGCGGCAACAGCACTGGACGGGACCCCCGTGGCTGGGTGTGGTGCCAGGCCCTCCTGTGCCCCCACCGTGCTGCCCGCCAGTCTCAGGCGACGCCAGGCCCTCTGCGCTCCCCGGCACCCGTCTCTAGCTCCGACTGGCCACGGCCATCTGCGCCGGTGCCCAGCGCTCTCGCTGCCACGGGAGACACCATCAGAGCCCGGGGAGCGGGGACAGCGAGGCATTTGCAGAGGGAAGCCCTGTCCGCCTCCCGGCCCTGAACCCTCGTAGCTTCCCGGCCAGGGCTCTGCATCTCCCCCCAGCCCTCGCGCCCTGCCTGGCCCCGGCTCACATTGTCACCAGTCAGACGTACAACATGAATGTGCTAGGTATCTCCAGACTGTCGTGTGGCTTCCACTCCTTTGGGCGTCTTGCTGCCCAGCAGAACTGAATGCAAGCTGCTTGCCCCCTGCCCTCCCCCTGGGTCTCGTCACATGTGCCAACTACGATGCCAAGCGGTGGGGGGCTGGCGGGGAGGCAGGTTCTCCTGCCACCGTCTCCTGCTCCAGGGGAGGGGACGAGAGCAACAATTTTGTGGCCAAAGGTCTTTGACTGTTGCAATATCTCCTGACTGTCCGTTATTTCTGTTCCCTGCACACACTGCCCCTGGATTGCAACCTGCCACTGAGTGTGTATGTACATACGTGTACACAGGACATACAGTATAGCTCTATCTCTCTCTATAAATATGTATACTTGGAGCCATTGTTATATTCAGTTGCGCCTTTTCTTTTGGTTTTGTATCTGGCCTGTTTCCTTTGCCAAGTACCTGCCAGTGCTGTTCTCACCAGAGCCTGAGTGCAGAACATTTTTATTGCTCTTTTTACATTTAAGAAACAAAAGAGAAGCCTAACAAAAGTCAGCCTCTGCACTGAACGCTGCTGTTTGTCAGGGAAAGAGCGCATCTTTGCCACCGTCTCTGACACTGCTTCAGCCCAGACAAGACCCTGCTCTGTCCGGGAACGTCCGTCTGCAGGAACAAAACAGTAAAAACAAAAAAGCACAAGTGTCTTCTGAAACCTGGTGGCTTGTCTCCTTCCTTGGGCTGCGGAGGGAGGGCTGGGGGCTTCTGGCCCTGCATTCCCATGTGGGAACCGCCTCGGAGCAAGGTGCAGGGAGAAGGGCTGGGGAGGGAGGCCTGGAGCCTGGGGGCGTCTGCACTGCCGGGGCGCTCACGCGGGGTGGGCCCCAGTGGGACTTCCCTGGAGCGGGTGCGCAGGGGTGGCCCTGGCCCTGGGCAGCTTCCCCTCTCCCCAGTCGTCCGGGCGGGCAGCACGGCCCACTCGGCAAAGCACATCACGCACGCCAACCCCGAAGCCTGTGCTCTGGGCCTTCTCTGCCCCCAGACGCCGGCCGCGTGCTTGCCTTTGAGCAGGACCTGACATTGCGCGTGCCGTCGGGGGCAGCTGGGAGAGGGGTTAGAGCTAAGCACAAGGGTAAGGGCTTGGCGGAGCCGGGGCCTGGCTCAGTGCCCGCAGGGGCAGGGAGACGACTGCCAGCTGGGCCCTAGGGAAGCTCTGCTAATTACCGGTGTGAGTGCGGAAGAGGCAGAGGACAGTTAATCCAGGCGCCTGGGCAACCGGTGCTGTGGAGACGGACACAGGATGCCCTTTGCTGGAGCAAGGGCATCCTGCCCAGGGTCTGAGATCCTGCGTTGATCTCTGCCGGGCGGGAGGTGGCACACAAAGACTATCCCTGTCCACACACGATGCTCTCTGTGTCCGGGGGACGGGAGCTCGTCCCAGGGGACACGCAGCAGCCTGGCAGAGAGCAGAGGGCCAGCCCTGGCCACGTCTCGAGCCTCGCAACCTCGGCCGCCCCGTCCCAGTAACCAGGGTCCTGAGCTACAGACCGAGGGAGAGGAGTTCTGTACTCCTCCGCCCACGGCGCCTTGCAAAGTCGGGGCCAGGGACACACGCGTCCCCTTGGCCCCGTCCTCCCTGCAGCGTGCCCATGGCCTGCGGCCCCCTCGGGAGAGCTGGGCTGGGCGAAGCGCAGGAAGCTGCACAGCTGCTGCGGTTGCTAACCGGGAGAGCGGGAGAGGGAGGAGCTGGGAGAAGGTGCTGGGCTAAGGGCTCCTGCTCTTGCTGGCAGCTTGGCACACAGGTGCACACTGCAGGCTGCCCGTCAGGCCCACCTCACTCCCCCCTTCACTGTCCCTGTGACCTTGAGGACCAGCACGGGGAGGAGGGCAGGAGCAGGGTGCTGCGTCCCCACAGCAGCTGGCGAACTGAGGGCATGTGGGGCTGGCTGCAGCCCCCTGCTCAGCTGTCACTGTCCTGCCCCGCTCTCATTTCAGTGGGGGTGACTTGCTCCTTATTTAAACTGGAGACACCTGCTCTCGCCTGGCGCTGCAATGGCAGACTGTCCCAAACTGACCCCAGCAGCAAGTGGGCAGAAAAGGTGCTGACTGCCCCAGACCCCGGATGGGTCCGGCCGGTCTCCACAGGCCACGCTTGCGGGTGCTGTGAGGTGCGAGCGGTGGGCTCCGTCCGGCCCCCGGCAGGCAGCCCGTATCTAGATCCTGCCCCGAAGCATGAGGCTGGTTACCACAGCCCTGCTGCCCGGTCTACCCTGCTTATCCTGACACGACACCGTCCCTTCTCAGTCCCGGCAGTGGGCAGCTGCGACTCCCAAAGGGCCTGTGCTACCGACACAGGGATCACCTCCCTGGCATTGAAATGCAGCCCCCTCCGGAGTGGGGCCTGGCTGCCGGGAGCAGCACCGCGCCATGCCGCGCCACGCCGCAGAGTGGCCGCACTCTGGGGAGGGGGCGGTCCTGGGAGGCTGCCTGGGGAGCTCAGTTCTCTGTGCTGGGGGTCTGCTGGGCATGTTACAGACCGGGGACATGCGGGTCCTTTCCCCTGTGATCCCTCAGGCGAGACCTCCCGCAGCAAAGTGCCCTGCCCAGAGGAAGCGCTGCCTGGTCGCCGGCTCCGGAGGAA